GTGCCACTTCCATGTTTCAATATAACAGATGCTTTAATTGCAATATCCTTTTTATTTTATTTATTTCGTGTATTAATTCTGATAAAATGGCTTGTAGAGTGGCAACCACGTTTCTAGGTAGATATTTCACAGGAGTGCTTTCAAGCTGTACAGTATAGCTGTACTTATATGAGAAAATTTAATCAGATAACACCAAAACAGTTCAATAGCGCTGGGATGTGAGATCTACAGAAATACAGAATTACAATAAAATACTGACATGTTTGGTGAAAGACATATTTATTTATTATGATTTATTTTATTCGTCAGGAACAGGCATCCATAAACAGTGACGTTGGTAGCCATGGACATCCACATCTGTCTGACGGGACAAGAGAGGGGGAAAATGCTGATTATCCTCGATTAGAGAACGCTCAACAGATAATACATATACAAAACATTTTCACATGTTTAACAAATTAACAATTAAATTAATGTTAACATTAAGAACAATACGATTTCGGACAACCGTATTCTACTGACTGCGCAGTTACACCGCATTGCTGACTTCCTCGAAGGCTCAAGTTTACGTCCGGCGGAATCCGCATTTTACCCTCACCCTCCCGGAGGCTACGGACGCAAAGCGGGAAATAGCCCAGGATGGGGCACCAACCCACCACAGTGAAGTGGAACATTGCTAACTAATTTTAAATATAGGTGATTAATTTAAAATGCAACAATAATAATATAGACTACATTTAAAATAAATTAAGTAAAGGTTTTACAAGCCTGCTAATTTAACAACACTGCGTTGCAAACAAACTAATCAAGCTTACCTATTGTAGGTCCTACACGTTTAAGGATCCGGCGGTAGACCTTAGCTTTCGATGGTTCCGCTTCTGATATAAAATCTCTACCGCCGTTTTGGTGGTGGCCACAGGGGTGTCCCCTTGGTGGCGTCTTTTCTTGTGCCTTACGTCTATTGTCCTGTTCACGATAAGCAGCTGAAAGATTAAATAATAATGTGCTTTTGTGTCCGTTTTTCCACAATAAATTATGGCATACAAAAATACAAAACTCTTACAAATTCAATTCTACAAAAATGTTAAATATATAAAATGTAATAATGGCTAGTAGCAGAGCTGTCAACTTTTGTCAGCCGGCTGGCGTGAGATTTTCGATTTCAGACAAGTCCGCACACGCATTTACACCTATGTGACAGTTTTATTACCTTGTAAATAGTGTGTAGGGTTTGCAAACTACCCCACCGCTTTTAATGCAGCTAATTTTAGGCTTATAATGTAATAATATACATTTGCCGTAAGAATTCTTGCGCGAGCGTGACAGCGTGAGTGTCACGCCAGATGCGTGAGAGTTGGCAGCCCTGTAGTAGTTTTACGACTACAAGTAGTACATTGCTTTGATTGAAAACAAAGGGGTGTCCAATTACTTGCTAGTATTGTAGACCCTAGCCAATGAACGCCTTCTACACACCCCTTTAAACTTTTCAGAGCGTGCGGTTTACGGGTTCCCGTGGGTTCAGCTCCTTAAAACTAATCGTCTCGTTTCTTTATCTGCATGAAGTCCGCACGGTGACGAATTATCTTGATTCGCAGAAGTGGATTTAATGCAGGTTTTGTTTTGAGTACAAGATGAAGATGCGGGACAACCTGGGAATATTATTTTTTCAGTTTTTCTGTACCGTATGCTTTGTAAATGCTGTTGACAGGAACAATATTTTCCCCTTTGGGACAGTCAGCGGAGATTTAACTCTTCCAGAGGGTGACGACGAAGTTTCTGAAGCGCTCAAACTGAAGAGACCCATGTATTTCTACGAGACGCAATTTAGCGAGTTATACGTGAGTTGCAAAGAAATATGGCATGCCGAAGCTTTTTTTTTTTAAAAGAAAAAAAGTCGTTCTTAGACATCATTTATTGTTCACATCCTGTTTGTATCATATTCTTCACCTTTATTTGGTCTAAATTGTTAGATTAATGAATGAATGTTGTTGTTTACAATGCAAATATCTGTAGTTGTGGGAAAACAAAGTGTTTGATTGAAGTGCTTCGGGAGAGGATATATTTTGGAAATATTGCTCCAAAAATGATAAGTCGTCCACTTAAGGGAGTCACAGCTTCTGTTACCTCCATTTCTTTGAAATAGATGCAGTATAAATAAGATACGTTAGCGAAATTTACATATTGTAAAATTTGTCCTTTTCTTGTAGTTCAGCTGAAAACTTGAATGGTACGGAAATGTTAGCAATGCCAAAGTAGTTTTCATAGTTATATTGTATACCTTCAGAAGGAGATAAACCTCTTTTTCATTAAAGACCAGTCACCCAACGATGACGTATAATTCAGCTCAACAACTCAAAATGGAGATACATCAGTATAATTACAATTTCATTGACGGTATTTAATCTAATAAAATAATTCTAACTAAATACTTAAGCTTGGATTTATGTATTTAATATTAGTGTATTGATGTTTAGAGGTTTATAAGGAAAAATACTGTACTGTGCAAAAGTCTTAGGCATGAAGTCATTGGTTTAAAAGATCTTCATGTTGGTGTAAAGTTATAGGTCTTTCAAAGTGTGTCAGCTTAGCTATTTTAAAACTTCTCCTCATGTCACCACAGTATTTTCAGCAACTCTCCAATTAATACAACCCAGTAAAATGTAACTTGACGGAGCACAAAAATATAGTATTTTACTATTACTTATGTATTAATTATTCACAAACTAAGTCTTACTTAAATTAACATGAGAACATTATCTGTCATTAATGAATCGCTAATGTGTTTTATCTCTCCTCTCGTTTGTAAATTTCTTATGTTCTTATGTTTGTTACAATATCTTTTTCTGTAAACCTTTCTGAACTACCGTAGGAACAAGTCATGAATAACACAAGTTAAATACTGACTGATCTCTTATTTGTCCTTCATCAATGAATCATGATGCATCTTTCATGCCAAACAGTTACTATATCTGTTAATTCTGTAAACCTTTGTGAACTACTGAAGGAGCTATTGCAGGAACAATTAATGAATAACCAAGTGAAATTTTGTTCATGTTTGTTCATTATTTATGAATCGTGATTCATTTTTTTTTTATCTCAAATAGCAACTATATTTGTATATGATTTGTTTATAATTTGTACTTCAGTAGTAACTGAGTTATTACTAAATATTTGTGTCCTGTCAAGAAAAATGTTACCCAAAGTTGACAACTACCCCCACCTTGTTTGACTAATCAGAACCTCATCATGAAATTTAATGAATAAATGGATTGGCTAGAGGTGCCTCTGAGAAAAGTGGTGTTCATCTAGCTTTCCAGAAAGTTATAAAAAATTATTGAATTATAGAAATTCTTGATTATTTAAATTTATGTGTTCTAATGTTAAATTGTGTTTTTTTTTTAAAACAAATATATGCTTGCAACAGAATAATAATAATAATAATTATTATTATTATAATTATTATGATTATATTGTACATTTTTAATATCTATTCAAAATAGAAAATCTGCATCTGTTACACATGTATCCTGTTTCTTTCTGCAGGTGGCTACTAATGGAATCATTTCCTGCCAGGATTTGCCCAGGGAGAAGCAGTATGTGGATCATGCTTTCCCAATGGACTTTCCCATCATTGCCCCCTTCCTAGCTGATATTGATACTAGCAATAAGAGAGGGACAGTCTACTACCGGCTTGACGAGTCACCAGGTGTGCTGAAGCGTGTTTCCCAGGAGGTGAACCGTGGCTTTCCAGGTGTCCACTTCACAGCCACACATGCTGTTATTGCTACCTGGGTAGATGTTGCTGCGTATGAAGAAGTGAAACACAGTTCTGGGCCTTCAGATAGGGTAAGACCTGTGTCTGTCTTTTTGGTGCTTTGGGATAAAAACATTTGAACTGTGCCATCTTACATGAAATCAGAGCAGGTCAACATTAGTGTAATCCAGCACAGTGTGGAATCCAGGAGTATGGCAAAGGCAAGCACTGTTATCATTTATGATATTTACTGGGTTATAATATAAAGATCAGAGAGGTCTCATTGTAGTAAAATGTTCTAGGGCCAAATATTATACTTTTAATCCTATGGATATTTTTGTGGTATTTGCAGTGAAGTATATGTCACAGCAGCGGGGCATGTTACAGGCAGGAAAAGAGGGTGATTATCCACTTGCAGCTCCAAAAAAGCGGTCTATTAAAGAAACTGAATACAATGAGTAAAATTACAAAACAAAATGGACCCAGAAGGGGTCAAAAAGGCAAAATGGGGAAAACATCAACTAATTACAAGAAACAAGGTTCAGGCACAAGGCAACACTGGAAGTAAGAACAGGCAAGGGAACAGAGCACAAACTCAATGACTCACTAAGGAACTGAACACAGACAGGCACTTAAATACAGAGGAATGCCAGGGCAAACAAGGAATATGTGCAAAGCATAATCAGATCAAATCAAGAAAGACTCAGGACAACAAGGAATAGGTGGGACAAATTACAATTAAACAAGCATGAAACTAAGGAGCCTTACAACAAAACTAGAAACTAGGAGCCATAACACAGAGGGCTGAATATGCTAGACAAAAACTAAAATCACACAGGACACAAACAGGGCAAACCAAACAGAGAAGCAAAAGAGCTACAAACACTAGGAACAAAAATTATTAATTAAACGGAACAGGTGAGGTTGGCTTTGAATCCATGACTGTAAGGTTACAGCCTCTGATATGCTCAACCAGCCTGAGCCATGCGAACTCAGACAGGTTGGACAGGGAGTGAAATGGCCAGTAACACCTGCTGGCCAAACAAGATAGAGACACGAAAGGCAGTATCAGATAGGTGCTGACAATATAATTCTTATTTGACTATTTTAATATTTACTTAGGGCTGTGGGGAAACCTTACTGTAAGCCCAATAAATTATAATGATTGTGCTTAGCTGTGAATCTGTGTTGTGGTTATTGACAGCATTGTTCTGGTTGGATATTACTGTGGCATATATATGGATTTGTGTTTCGATACTTTCTGCTAGAGAGAGTCTTTTAAACAGCCCCATGATGGGTAAGCAGCTGGAAATTGGGTAGATAGGTGGATGGATTTATTTAACTGCTTATTTTTACTTCACTTATCTAGGCAAAAGCTCCTGTATGCTTTCTTAGAACTAATTTTAAAAGATAAGCTTTTAGTATAGAAAAGGTATTAGTGTTGCTTTATTTTAAGACACCTTCATGAATAAACATTTCCCGTTGTTTGTTTTGGCCTCTAATGTAGTGAGTTAAATGTCAGCTGCTCTCAACAGACTATACACTATTTAGCTATTTGCTTGTTTAGCAAAAGCTGTTTAACTGCTTGCTGAGCCAATTTTCTCCAAAGTCTCTGTGATCTTCCCTGAGGTATACAGATGGATCTAACTAAAGCAAATCAGGAGAATGACTGGGTCTGATAAGTACTCTGCTTTTTAATTCTGGGGGGTCTCCCTGGGGTCTTGAAGACTCTTTAAAATACCTTTTACTTGTAAACACAGAAGAAAATTATGCTGTGTACCAGTTAAGCAGAGCAGTTGACTCCTCCTTTCTGAAACCTTTTGTTTTTCCAGGCTTTGTCAGTCCTTTTAGAGTTTGAAATGTAGGACATCAACAATTTCAACTGCTTTCTTTCTGTGCTTTTGAGAAGTGGTTATACATATAATATGTAATGCTATTTGCTATAATTATATCACTTGGTACAGTGAATGACAATACAGTAGGATATTCTGGGCATGGCATTTTCCAGTTTTATTTATTTTATTTTTGCTGAACTTTTTTCATATATTGTAGTTTGGATTTTCTGCCTTCTGTTTGATTTGTACTATTTCTGTGTCCACCAAATTCATTGCTTAGCCATGTCTTTATTATTAGCACTACTCTCTTTAAAACGTGTTTATGGGTATGTTTCTACATCTCTAGGAAGTGCTGAAGTCCTCTAATTAGACTTTAGGGCTGGAAAGAGTATAGTGGAATTTGGGAGTTGTAGATATATGCCACACAAAACCAGATAAAAATGCGACTGCAATGTAGGTGGGTTGTCATGCATAGATCTGTCTTTTATGTCAGCCAGCAGTATAGGATAATATTAGTACAGGATAAGTAAAGGTCGCACCTCCAGTTTACACTACTTTTGATTTTCAGTATTATAAAGTGTAAAGTGAATGGAAATTTAAGGTATAGGGTTAAGTCTAGTTTATACTTTTTCACATGTGCTTTTGAGCTGGGGATGGTCATCTGCACGGCAGCTTGTGTTCATGCTACATTTGGCTGTGGATGCTGATGGTTGTGGTCGGTGCATGCATACAGCAGTGATATTCCACCAGACCAGGAGAGAGCAGATGTCATGCAACAAATGCAAATACAAGCAGTGTTGAGAAATGGGTAAACATTTATGAACAGTTTTAAAGTTATTAGTCAAGGTTTGTGTGCTGTTACAGTAATAAGCCACACCACCACCACCACCACCTCATCTGCAAATTTTATTGGCAAGATTTAAAAATGCTGGAATTGTGTTGCTTTTTAAAATATGGCTTACCAGGGTATACTTCACAGTATGAAAAATTTGATATGAAGGTACTTCCGACCAGCATACAACTGTTCACTAAAGTACTACAAACAACAATGACTTTTTTTTTGCTGTACTCTTTCATCATTGACTGCTGATCTCTAAAAATCTGTGCTGCCGCCTACTGGAAACACCTTATCAATTATCTTGCACATGCATGGTCAATGTGCATGGTCGGAATGCAAGGTTTCTGCTAGACAAATCTGGGCTACGTGTGCACCAACCAGAGCCGTCCGCAGCTAACCCCTGATGACAAAAATGACATCATGTTCTCTCATCCACAACCAAAAGCACACATGGAAAAGTGAAGTATGAATTGGCTTTTAGGGCTACTCAATTATGGCAAAAATCATAATTCTGATTTTTTTTGGTCAGTATTGAGATCATGATTATTTAGCAGGATTACACATTGACTGAAATCTGCACTTATTGAACTTAAAAAAAAATCTTGGATTTTCTTGAACTCTACATATAATTCAACTGAGAAACAAATAAAATGGGGTTGGAAAGTGTTGCGCTGGATTTATGAAACAAGACAAAAGAGACCATCATTACAAAACCAAATCATTTAATCTCAATTATTTTGTTTTCATAATTGTTGGAAGCCAAAATTTTTTATTTTTTTATTTTAATTAAAGTGCAGTAATTGCTCATCCTTATTATGAGGTTTAACATAAGAACATAAGAACATAAGAAATTTACAAACGAGAGGAGGCCATTCGGCCCATCAAGCTCGTTTGGGGAGAACTTAGCTAATAGCTCAGAGTTGTTAAAATCTTATCTAGCTCTGATTTAAAGGAACCCATGGTTTTAGCTTCCACTACAATAGCAGGAAGACTATTCCATACTCTGACTACACGCTGTGTAAAGAAGTGCTTCCTCAAATTTGTTTTAAAATGTTCTCCCGCTAATTTCCACTTATGGCCACGAGTTCTAGTATTTAGACTAATATTGAAATAGTCATTTGGCTGAACGGCATCCAGACCCGTTAGAATCTTATAGACCTGAATCATATCCCCCCTTAGCCTCCTTTGCTCAAGGCTGAACAGATTCAGTTCCGCTAACCTCTCCTCGTAAGACATTCCTCTAAGACCAGGAATCATTCTCGTAGCTCTTCGTTGCACCTTTTCTAAGGCAGCAATGTCCTTCTTGAGGTATGGTGACCAAACCTGCACACAGTATTCTAGGTGGGGTCTTACCAAGGAATTATATAAGTGTAACATCACCTCCCTTGACTTAAACTCCACACATCTAGAGATATAACCCAACATTCTGTTCGCCTTTTTTATTGCTTCCCCACATTGGCGAGAGTGGGACATGGAAGCATCAACATACATACCGAGATCTTTCTCGTAATCAGCTACCTTTATTTCAGTGGAACCCATAAAATATCTGTACTGTATATTTCTGCTCCCTGCATGGATTCCTTACATTTATCTGTGTTAAATTTCATCTGCCAAGTATCAGCCCATTTACCTTAACATGCTCATGTCATTGAAATGTATGTAATTTCCTTCTCGTCTCCTTGTAGGTGAACACATTCCAAGTAGTGCTGGCATATGATGAAGTGGACACTTTTGTGTTATTTCTATACCCTGATGATGGGCTGCATTTCTTTGGGACAAGGCCAAAGGAGACCTACAATGCTCAGTTGGAGCTCCCAGCTCGGGTGGGATTCAGCAGGGGAGAAGTGCCTTTAGTAAATTTTTCCCCCATGGAGGAGCTCTACTATAGTGTTACCTGCACTGAAAAAGCTGTTAAAAATCTCTACCAGTGAGTTCCATTTCAATTCCCTGGAATGTACTTTCTTTGCTATACTGTTCTTTTACATTAGAGTTGCCACAACCAAAGTGAAATTTATGAAAACTTTATTTAAAACGTTATATACTGGGTAAATATGCTTTGATTATTGAATGTTGTGAATTAATGTCTTGCATTAATGAGTTGACACTTGTATGTAACAAGTGTAACTTAATCTGGACATGGTCTAGTGTAAGTTTCAAATGCTTCTAGTAGCTTTGTAGAGTAAAGCATGAGTGAGACTGTCAACAGTATCCATTTTGGAATTTAATGGGAAATGATCTAACTTTTATGTTAAAGCGTACTGAATGTCTCTCTTGCTTCTATAACTAGTAATTTGTCCTTTTCCTAGGACGGGCAATGCTGGAGTGCCAGGGGTGTGGCTCTTCCATGTTGGAAACTACTTTTCTTTCAACAACGTGGTCCCTGCAACAGTGACTCAGGTGGCTCCTACAGTTATGCCATTGGGTCAGAACAGACGAGATGCCACCATCCCCGACTACACCGAATACATAGATCACTTTCATGATCAAGCAAGTGAATACAATTCCAAAGTCCTGTCAGGCTCTGAGTTCCTTCCTCTAGCTATGTCTGAACTCTTGGAGTCAGATCACACTGCCATATTGCCTCATCCTTTGGTCACCAAGAATAAGGATCGTGAATTCCTGGCTGGTCAACCACGCATGCAGACTTATAATGGGGATAGTCCATTGACCTTCAGGCACAGTCCTTTGGATCCCTTGCCCCCCACCCCTCTTGCCTCAGGTCCTGGGGGCTACCTCACGCCAAAACTCAGGCAGCGCTTGTCTAAAGGTCACAGTCAGGCCATAATTTCAAAAACCTACGTCATGGATCCTGGCATGGAAAACACTGCTAACTTAGAGAGAATGGATGAGGATGTAGACTTTGACACCAGGGGTGAGTGAAAACAGTTTGTTTTGCAATTAATTATTCAAACTGCAAATACAAGCACAATTATGAACAGTTGTAAACCAAAAGCGATGCGTCTGTTGACATGTCTGAATAATAAAACCTCATAGGTTGTTATTTGTACATTATGAAAAATATATCAAATAAAAACTTCAAAACTATAGCATCATAACAGTCATGATGAACCAAATCCATTCCAAATATCTAGATATTTCTAAATGTCTTCTGTACTACTGATTATGGCTGCATATATGTAGTGATAAACACCCAATAGCCATATTTATTGTTTTTACCCAGTCTGAATTTTCTGGTAAAAACACCTTAGATGTCACATGGAGAATAACTTGCAGAGGCAGTTTTGCCTTGCTGTGGTCATACGCACACACACAGATGATATCTGAAATTAGTTAGCATGTTGGATGTTTCTAGCAACATAACTGAGTGCGGTGTAATGGAAATGACAGACAGTCTTGGTTGTATCATTTAGTGTTAATGTACCTTATTGGGAAACTGAAATGTAACCAAACTATGGGCTTAAGTGACGTCGAAGGATCTTTGAGCTCTCCAGGACTAGCTGTTACCAACTCACTGCCGCAATTAGCATAATGTTTTCCATATTGAACATCTACTTGTCAATTTAGGTTCTGTCCATGTCAATAAACATATTAATTTCTTTCATTTTGCGTACCCATGCCCATACCTACCACAGAGTACACCGAGGTCAAGTCCTCAGTATTTTTTTTTCTGCAACTCCAATGACCACGATACATTATGGGGCACACCTAGAATGGGGTAACACTTTTGACCTTGGTATTTTAAAAATCCTATGACCCTGTGCATCCCTAAGTGAAAATAATGTACCGAACAGTGCACAATGAATGCATGTGCCATTTCAGCAGTAATCTCTTGACTTAGATGCAACAGTATGTAATTTCCTGGTTTATATACATGTAATATGCTGCATTAATACTACCAATTCAATTTATGGAAGCTTAAATACTGAATGGGAGATTCCCCAGTCATTGATTACATTGCCTTTAGATGTGCTTCATAATATCAAACCGTCTTTGTATGTATTTAGACCCTCAGAGTGGGGCCACTCACTCACAACACAAATCTTTTCCTGTTTCCTTCATAGAAGTGGTCCTACAGGCTTCAGTTTCAAATCCTCTCATTTATAATTCATATGCTACCCCTTTAGCTGTCATGCTCTTAGTTGTGCTACTGCTCTACCCCTCCCCCGAGTAACATCCTGTATTTGTAAGATAAAACAATATATGAACCCAATAGGGAGGCACGGTGACGCTGCTGCCTCACAGCAAGAAGGTTCTGGGTTCGGTCCCCAGGTCGGGCGTAGGACCTTTCTGTGTGGAATTCGCATTCTCTCCGCGTGTTTGCATGGGTTTCCGCTGGGGGCTCCAGTTTCCTCCCACAGTCCAAAAGTGTGCGTGGTAGGTTAGTTGGCAAATCTAAGTTGGCCCCGTGAGTGTGTGTGCCCTGCAGTGTGTTGACGACTGCCCAGGGTTGGTTTCCTGCCTGCGTCCGTTGTTCCCAGGATAGGCTCCTGTTACCCCGGTTGGGATTAAGCCGTTACGGTGATGGATGGCCTCTCCTGGAGCTGACACCTTATCGTGGTGGAGGGGTTTGCATGTTCCTATGATCCCAGGAGCTAAGTTGCCTGGGGCTTTATGCCCCTGGTAGGGTCACCCAAGGCATACAGGTCCTGGGTGAGGAACCAAACAAAGTGTGGCTCGTCAGACCCTTATGATGAATACAAACACGGATTCACGATTTCCCTTTCCCGGACGTGGGTCACCGAGGCCCCCCCCCCCTGGAGCCAGGCCTGGGGGGGGGGCTCGATAGCGAGCGCCTGGTGGCCAGGCCTACACCCATGGGGCCTGGTCAGGCACAGCCCGAACAAAGCACATGGGTCCCCCCTCCAATGGGTTCACCGCCTGTAGGAGGGGCCATAGGGGTCGGGTGCAGTGCGAGTTGGACAGTGGCCGAAGGCGGGGACCTTGGCGGTCCGATCCTCGGCTGCAGAAGCTAGCTCTAGGGACATGGAATGTCACCTCTCTGGTGGGGAAGGAGCCTGAGCTGGTGCGCGAGGCTGTGACGTTCCGACTAGATGTAGTTGGGCTCACCTCGACGCACGGCTTGGGCTCTGGAACCAGTCTCCTCGAAGGGGGTTGGACCCCCACAGGGAGAGGCGCCGAGCTGGAGTGGGCATACTTATTGCCCCCTGGCTGGGTGCCTGTGCGTTGGGGTTTACCACGGTGGACGAGAGGGTGGCCTCCCTTCGCCTTCGAGTGGGGGGACGGGTTTTGACTGTTGTTTGTGCTTATGCGCCAAATAGCAATTCAGAATACCCACCCTTTTTGGAGTCCTTGGAAGGGGTGTTGGAGAGCGCTCCTCCCGGGGACACTCTTGTTCTGCTGGGAGACTTCAATGCTTACGTGGGCAATGACAGTGAGACCTGGACGGGCGTGATTGGGAGGAACGGCCCCCCCGATCTGAACCCGAGTGGTGTTTTGTTATTGGATTTCTGTGCTCGTCACGGATTGTCCATAATGAACACCATGTACAAACATAAGGGTGTCCATATGTGCACTTGGCATCAGGACACCCTAGGCCGCAGTTCGATGATCGACTTTGTGGTTGTGTCATCGGACTTGCGGCCGCATGTATTGGACACTCCGCTGGTGGGGGAGGAAGCCGGTCAGACCTGGCAGACCCAAGCGTATAGTGCGGGTCTGCTGGGAACGTGTGGCAGAATCCCCTGTCAGAGGGAGTTTCAACTCCTACCTCCGGCAGAACTTCGCCCATGTCCCAGGGGAGGCAGGGGACATTGAGTCCGAATGGGCCATGTTCCGCGCCTCCACTGTGGAGGCGGCTGACCGGAGCTGTGGCCATAAGGTGGTCGGTGCTTGTCGCGGCGGCAATCCCCGAACCCGCTGGTGGACACTGGCGGTGAGGGATGCCGTCAAGCTGAAGAAGGAGTCCTATCATGCCTTTTTAGCCTGTGGGACTCCGGAAGCAGCTGATGAGTACCGGCGGGCCAAGCGGAACACGGCTTCGGCGGTCGCTGAGGCAAAAACTCGGGTATGGGAGGAGTTTGGCGAGGCTTTGGAGAATGACTTCCGGACAGCTTCGAGGAGATTCTGGTCCACCATCCGGCGTCTCAGGGCAGGAAAGCGGTGCAGCATCAACACTGTTTATGGTGGGGATGGTGCACTGCTGACCTCAACTCGGGACGTTGTGGGTCGATGGAAGGAGTACTTCGAAGACCTCCTCAATCCCACCGACACGCCTTCCAATGAGGAAGCAGAGTCTGGGGACTTGGGGGTGGACTCACCTATCTCTGGGGCAGAGGTCGCTGAGGTGGTTAAAAAGCTCCTCAGTGGCCGGGCCCCGGGGGTGGATGACATCCGCCCGGAGTTCCTCAAGGCTCTGGATGTTGCAGGGCTGTCTTGGTTGACACGCATCTGCGACATCGTGTGGACCGGGGTGGTGGTCCCCATATTCAAGAAGGGGGACCGGAGGGTGTGTTCCAACTATAGGGGGATCACACTCCTCAGACTCCCTGGTAAGGTCTATTCGGGGGTGCTGGAGAGGAGGGTCCTTCGGATAGTTGAACCTCGGATTCAGGAGGAGCAGTGTGGTTTTCGCTCTGGCCGTGGAACAGTGGACCAGCTCTATACTCTAGGCAGGGTCCTGCAGTGGGTTGCACCAGCTAAGCGTAAGTTCGATCTTAGCCTACGGTGGACGTAAATTGGCCCTACGTTCGAGTTTACGCACTACTAAAAAATAATCCGTTGCACCACGCTCTTAGTTTCAACGTAGTACTAAGTTATAGCGTAAATTTTACACTACCTTAACATTAGGTGTAAAGTCCATCGTAAGAAAGACGTTAAAAAGTGGTGAAAATGGCTATCCGTTTTGAACGGTGGGAAGACGAAATTAAACGCGGTTTACGTCGAGAGAGTCATTCGTGACCGATTACATCCCTTTGAAGAATATGATGATGTTGATCTGTATACTCGGTTTCGTTTTCGCCGTGCCGAATTACAAAAAATTACCGATCTGTTAGCTGCTGATCTACAGCATGATACTGACAGAAACAGAGCCCTCAGTCCGGCTTTACAAGTATGGCTGGCACTTAGGTACTTTGCCACCGGCTCTTTTCAAAGTCTTGTGGGCGACTCGATGCATGTACACAAGTCCACCGTGTGCAGAGCCATGAGAGCAGTGGCAATGTCACTAAATAAACACATAAACACGTACGTGCACTTTCCTCTGCTGCCTGTGCAACAAAACACAACCCGTCAGAAGTTTTTTCAGATCGCCGGTTTTCCAGATGTGTTAGGATGTGTGGATGGCACGCACTTCAAGATAAAAACACCCAGCGACCACGAAATTGACTACGTCAACAGAAAGGGCTACCACTCTATAAACGCACAAATTGTCTGTGACGCCGACCTTATTATCACAAACTGCGTGATCAAGTGGCCAGGCTCGAAACACGACAGTTACATCCTCAGACAGTCTAGGCTTAGTTCAGACTTTGAAGAAGGAAGATATTCTGGAAGGTTGCTGGGTGACTCCGGATATCCCTTAAGAATATGGTTAATGACACCTTACCTTAGCCCATCAAATCAGCAGCAGGAGCGCTACAATGTAGCACACGTCAGAACAAGGAATGTGGTAGAACGTTGCATAGGTGTCCTGAAGAAACGGTGGGCTTGTTTGCACAGAGGTGATTAGGTTTATAGTCTGTTTACATTAATTCCTACAAAACTGCTATTCAGAACAAATAATGTCTAGGTAAATAAGCTATGCCTAACCTCTATAATTTATGGTGCAACCATTTTGTCACTGACAGGTATAATAATGGAGCCAGACAGAGCTGCTGTAGTAGCAGGTG